CCCAGGAGTCCTGGTTCCAAGTCTCCCCTCCAATCACCGAATCAGTATCCGAGGCACCCCCAAATCCTCCTTCCTTAGACCCTGATCCCCCAGAAGACTCATCCCTCAGACCCAGGAGTCCTGGTTCCAAGTCTCCCCTTCAATCACCGAATCAGTATTCGAGGCACCCCCAACTCCTCCTTCCTCAGACCCCTCATCCCTCAGACCCAGGAGTTGGGCCAGTTCCTTCCGTCATCTGATCAAGGAGGTCAGTTGTCTATCCCTTGCCTCCCCCAGCCCCCCTCCCCGCATTCTGGGACTCCAGCTCTGCTCCAGGAGAAACCCCAATGTTGCAACTTCAAACAGATCGGGAGGGGAAAAAATCTGTTCACTGAAAGTTCAAAGGTTTAATTCAAGCTTGGACAGCGTTGGGAAAATCAAAATTTCGCTGTGGAAACCCGGTCTCTCCCTGCCGTGGGAGACACTCCCCCCCGCCCCCTGGCCACGCCCCAGGGTCCTTGATTGGCTCAAGCTCTGTGGGCGGTGCCACACCCCACACTTTGGTTGATACGTTTGGGCGGATCAGAAGCTGGACTGCAGTAGCGTAACTCGTAAGGGCCACGCCCCCTCGGCCGGAGTCAGGGCGGGAGGGGCGGTGCCAGGCTCCCACGTGGACTCCCAGGGGGCGGAGCCTCTGCCACGCCCACTACTCAGGCTGGAGGAAGCCACCACGTGGGAATTGACCGCCGGAGATCTTGGGGGAGAGACCGCTCGGGGTGTGGGGTCCGGTGGAGACGGAGGTGCAGGGGGGAGGGGTTCTCCTCGGGCGTCCGAATTTCCACCTGGAGAAGATGAGTGAGCAGTGAGAATGACAATCTGCACGTTGGCAGAGCCGGTTCTGTCCTATTGTGCTGACCCTTCCCCGCACCCCCCCTCCCCCCGTCAGCCTCCTCCCGCAGATCCAGGGGTTCTGATTCCCAACCCACTCCTCCCTCAGACCTAGGGGTACTGACCTCCAGCCCCCTCTTCCCTAATACCCAGGGGTCCTGTCCCCCAGACCCCTCCTCTCTCATACTCAGGAATCCTGACTCCAGGCCCCTCCTTATTTCCTCAAACCAAGAAGTCCTGACCCGAGCTTCTTAGACCCAGGAATAAGGACCCCAGTCCCCTCCTCGTTCAGACCCAGAGGCTGATCCCCACCCGCGCGCCCCTCCGCCCAAATTCTTGAGCCCCGACCCCCACTTTCCTTTTGCCTGGGCCTTACATTTCTGAGCCCTGCCCCTCCCATTACGCATACAAAACAAAGGATCCCCAGATATTGCCAGACTTCTCCCTGGGTTTTAGAATTCTAGACTTCCAGAGCCCCCCACTCCCTCACCTGTCATCATTCGCTGCCATTGTGAGGCCTCTGTAGCCAGAGCTTGGGAGAGGCTGAGGACCCGCTCCCGGTGACCATCAGATGTGGGCAAATAAGGCGTAGTATTCCTTGGACTAGAAGAGAGGGAGTCGGGAGAAGGGAAGATCTGAGGGCCGCGCTAGTCCTTCTGGGAGTTGTAGTCCTAAGCACGTGGCTCTAAGGGACTCCAAACAAGGGTTTCTCACCGAAGCCAAAGTGCATCGTGAGATTTGTAGTTCCGTCTATATTACAGCCACCACCACCACCACCACCACCACCCCATCTCCGCCCAGGA